TTAAAATAAGGAACAAAAAGAGAAAAAAAAAAAAAAAAAAAAAACCCCACCAAAAAAAAAAAAGAGTTGAAGAGTAGGCAAAAGGAATAAGGAAGGAAAGCTGTATCCTGGATTATTTCTTAGGGAGGTAAGAAGAGAGTACACTTATCACATGGAATGATGCTGTAGGCCATACCAGGTGGCTGGAAAGTGCAACAGGATTTACTAAGATGAAGGAAGAAAGTCTCTTGGGTGTGTTTAGACCCACTGGGAAACAGGACACAGTCACTGAGAGAGGCAATGGCAGTCTCAACGTGGCATATTGTGGCCTAAGAAAATCCTGGGCTGCCAAGTCAGCCTAGGACATCCTTACAGCTTTCAGGGGACAATACAAACAAGAAAGAAAGACAGAAAGAAATAAAGAAAGACAGACAGAAAGACAGAGAAAAGCAACAGCAAAATCCAGGATTTTGGAACTCAGGTTACCCAAAGTATCCAGAACCTCTCTAAGTAGCATCAGCCATGTTTCCAAAGGCAGCAAACTTAAGCTTGTCTTCTGTTCCTACCTCAATCTAAATTCACAAGTGTTAGCCTGCAAAATTACTTAAATTTCCTCACAACAGGAGGGATTCTCATCAGCACATAAGCACAGGCAGCTACCGTTAGCCAGGTTATAGCAGCCACCCAGAACAAATGTGCTGCACAGGACTTTGCAGCATCTGAGAAATTGTCTGTTGCTACCACATAGCAGTTCAAAAGGTTTTCTCCAAAACTCTCCTAGCAGCCAGTGTTCTGAGTATGCCACATGGTCTGTCAGCAATAAATGTTCACAAGCAAAGTCCTGGCAAGTCCAAGACACCAAAATAAATTTACAGTCTCAGATATTGGTACCAACTTTGGAGCTGTCTGACTAGACTACCGCGCATAAGGAGGAATTGTTAGGAGCAAACAATTATCTGTCTTTTTGCACATTTAAAAATAAATCCAGTTCAACTTCCAAACAAAGTCAGAATGAGAAGCAGCATCCCTACATGATGTCTTTTCCTGCTGTTTTAAAGCCTCCTTAAACAGTGCCAGTGTAATTTTCCTTGTTTCCTATCCCATCTGATAGAGAACTCTTCCCATGAGGGGAGGGAAATCAAAACAAAACACCCCCTCCCCACCCCACCACTTATTTTAGGTGCCGGAGGGTGAACATTTTCAGATTACCTGTTAGGAGATTTCCAGTCCTCCTCCTTGCCCCCAGAAGAACAAAGGCCATTGCTTTCCCCTTCTCCTTCTAGCAGCTCATAGAAACTTGCTGGGCCTCACCGGCTGTCCTGATAACTGGCACCGCCAACACCCGCCGTGCAACCGCCTGTACTGTGAGACATGTCCCAGTTACCTTTAGTAAATAACTTCCATGACGCTTTGAACCTCAACTTTTTGAAGCATACTTGCATAGAGTCTTACATGATCAGGCAGGCTATTGAGCTAAGAATGTCAAAATTTGCACTCCCTAAAGCTTAGTGGGGAAATGCCAGGAACCTGGGGGGAAATGATGCATTTGCCTATTTTACATAATGATTTGCATAATTAGAAATAAAATAAGTTTGCAGGATTATATCTGCTTGCATTTCTATCAGTCTGATAGATTACTCTAAACTGCATCTTGTCTGAGCTCACCAAAGAACTCTAGCCTTTCTGTAATGAGGCAGGAGAGCCTGGTATTTCACAGGCAGGGAGTGGGAAAGGCAAGCCCCTGCCCCCCACCACGGAGCCTTAATTTGAAATTAGATTGAAGACATAAGAAACTGATTGAAAAGAGCATATGGAGAGGGCACAGGTGACAAAAGGAAGGGGATACTGCTGGAGGGGATGTGGTTTCCCACAGTGAGAGAGGTAAAAAGCTGGTTGCATCATGGATTTGTAAGATAATTATTAGCTTATGAAGCAGTATCCCAAAGGATACAGGGAAGCTCCACTGCCTTCCACATTTATGATCAAATTGGAGAAAACATTAGGAAACATTCACAAAGATGGGCTATCAGGCTGATGATTGCTTTCATCTCCCAGATCCATGAATAAGAAAACAAAACCTGAAGTTGATCTGCTCATCCCCACTCAGCAGTTCAGTGAGGACATCAGTTACATTTTAACCCTTACATGACACTCTGAATTCCCCTGTTTCTTTAAAGTGATTTGAATCTGCTTTCTCACAATTTTAGGGTTGTAGAGGCCCTTGGGTATAAGATGCAGGCAATTCCTCTCTGTTTCACTCTCTTAAGCTAGATGCTTTTTTAACAAGACAAATCCTCTGCTGGCAGCAGTATTATCAGCCAGGTCCTGTCATCATTCTGTCTGAGTGCAGTAATATTGCAGTATGAAGAAG